AAAATTTTAAAAGAATTTTCTGATTGTCCCCTCGTGTATTAGGAGCTTAAACACCTCCTCGCACATTATAACCTCCTGATACCAAATTGGAAAATATTTAAAACGAAATTTGGCTTCGAAATATTTTTGTGGGTGATTGGGAAAAGACCTCCTCGTCTATTATGTTCTTCTGGTAGCCAGACAAAGTTTAAAAAGAATTTTCTGACTATTCCCTCGTGTATTAGGAGCTTAAACACGTCTTTTAAAACGAAATTTGGCTTCGAAATATTTTTGTGGGTGATAGGAAAAGGCCTCCTCGACTATTATGTTCTCCTGGTAGCCAGACAAAATTTTAAAAGAATTTTCTGATCATCCCCTAGTGTATTAGGAGCTTAAACACCTCCTCGCACGTTATAACCTCCTGATACCAAATTGGAAAAGATTTATAACGAAATTTGGCTTCGAAATATTTTTGTGGGTGATGGGAAAAGACCTCCTAGACTATTATGTTATCCTGGTCCTTTGCATAATCACGATCTCGAGTGTTACTTTTCCGAAATTTAAGCCGGATTTGCAATACGTATTGACCGTTTCGTTTTGCGTTCATCACGGTGTCAACTGTACCATTGAAGCGGGCTGTTTCACTATTTCTAAAAAAGAGCAGCATTTTCCAAGGAACGATGAGACTAATTTGTAATCTGAAAGGAGTCTCATCCACGTCAATCACTTTAAGATATTTTAAATTTTTTCATTGCATAAAGCCAGTTTTGTTTGAAGTAATTTTAATATTCCTAAAGAAGTCGACCTATGATTTTGTATTGTAATTATTAATCAGAATCCAATCCGAGCAAATAATTTTGTTTTAATGGCCAATTTGCAGTTAATTCAGTGATACCATTCCTTTGGTTGGATTAAAATGTTATTTAGAATTCAGTAATTCATTATGCGGTAAAGATAAAAAATTTAATTACGGATCAAATTTAGCACGGACACGTGCTCACGAATAGGCACCGCATTTTTTGTATTTCTCACATTAAAGTTTTTGCCAGTGCCGTAGAGGTTCAAGTTTATTTTACTCAAATGAGGTTTTCGACCCTTGTAAATGTAACTGGCCGAGGTAAGAGATAAAGAATCCGATTCCCAAAGACAGACCGTTGAATGCTGATGCCCATCGGTAAGGTTGAAATGAGAAAAGTAAGGCTGTCTCTTCCTTGGTCCTCCGTGTTTCGGTAGATTAACACCAACCGAAAACCTAGGCTACCGCTATCGTTAAAGTTAATTTTCAAAACGAACTGGAGACCAGGAATTTGTCAATTGTTGCCAATTTTAGACGTCCTGATTCTGATACCACAATTCACAAAGAGAAAATAGTGTTAAACCTGAGATGTGACAATTTCATCCCCTGTAATTCGTAGTGTCCACCCTAAATTTGTCTAAATCGAACATCGCGTGACCGTATTATGTAATACCGCAATCACATTAATTTGTTCATGTGTTTGTATTCAGAAGTTAATATATCTAACGGGACATTCGAAAACGCAAATCAGTCGGTCCAAAGTTTTCGAACGAATTTGTCATGTTCGCCTGGCTTGTAGTCTGTTCGATTTTATTTAGAGACACACACTCTGCTCTCGTTTCATTGGACGACGGAAGCGAGAGTTGCGTGAAACGCGTGATTTCTGCCGTATTTGCAGAGGATGAGGTACTGTACATAATTCTGATAGGGAATCACAACGCGGTGCCGCACGATATTCCGCAATCGAAAATAATTTGGAGTCTCGACGTGTTGGAGGAGAAGGGCGGAAGTTCGTATGGAAACAACTTCGTAATTCAAGTCGAGGATGGCCTTAGCTTGAAAAAGGTACTATCTCGTTTGGTTCTTAGCTCACTTTGGGACGCCAATATCTCTCCGGGGGAACATTTTTGGTCATCGCTTCTAAAATGGACGCGAGGGACGCTTTCCTGCAACTTTGGGACTACAACATCAAAAACGTAACTATACTATTCAGCTCAAGTTTTTGGCAATGCAATCCGAACACCGCGATTAATCAGTGCGGGGGCGCACCAAATCTAATCGACGTGCAGAGTTGCCACTCTCACGTAGAGATCATTTCTGACAGCGAAGATACCTGCCGGCCATCACTTGTGGGCCGCAAGGAGAGGTTAGCCCAACATGCACTAAGCGTTACGCTACCAAAACCCCTAACTGCACTCGGAATGTAACGTGTACAAGTGAAAAATAAAGTGTACATTTTTTGTTTGGGCGTATTATTGTATAGAGTTTTGCAGGTGTTTATTTGAAGTTGTGATATTATTCACGTTAAGGTGTGTTTACGAACCCCATTTATTTTAAGTTTCATGTTAGTTTGGGCAAGCCGAGTAGAAATTTGTAAAGTAAAACTGGTGTTTAAATAAAGCAAGTAAATTTGCTGAGAGCGTTACAAACTTATGGATCGAAAAGTTCTTCAACGGAATATTCCTTGAAGACCGGCGCCAAAATCCCAGAAATAACTTTATGAATTGAGGTGTGTACAAATGGACCAAATTCTTTAGACAGCGCCATAACATTCTCGTTGATCGCCGCATTCACGCGGTCGTTGATTTCGTTGTTGTCGAACAAATTGTCGAAGCGTATTTTCGCCGAGTCGATTGAATTTTCGGCTTCGTCATCGGCGTTTCTCTTGAACTGAATGTATCTCTTTCCGTCTCTGTCCACAATGGTAAACCTTGATTTTGTTAACGCTTGAACATTAGCTGTAACATTTAATAATAAAGAAGATGTTCGCTATAGATATCCGCATACTCAAGTTCGCCGAAAATTTTCCTTGAGTTTTCACCTCAAACATAAGCACCTTCCCTTTGATGTCGTAGTTACCGACGGTGTTCACTACCGGTACCTTCAATTTCAATACTAGGGTTTTCTCTTCGAGGTTAAGGTCAAGTTTGTCAATGATGATATCTTTCATTCCGCGTAGCTCCAAATCGGTTACAACCGCGTTTATTTGGATTCTTTCGTTCGATCCAGTATTCAACTCAAATTTGGGGAAACGGAATGGTTCGATGGGAGGCAACTTCATTTCAGGAATTCCATCGAGTAAGCGAGGTTGTAGGTCACCTATGCGGTTTACGATGCAATCTCCAACTTTTAGGTTAGGATCCGAAAGTTTACATTTTTTTATGTAGGAGGCTGAAACAAAAAATCACTAAATTAATCTTGGATCAACCATTTTAAAATTCAGATTAAAAAGTAGTGTAAGAACGATTCTAAATAGAATATAAAAGAATTCCACGAACGTCGGCGGGCGGTGTGGAGTTGGGGGCGAGGGTTTCGCTCATTTCTTTTCGTTGAATGAATCTTTAATCTTCTACTTACGAACGAGCGATAAATGACAGTACTCGGAATCGAGAGTCCACGGGAACGCGGAACTGGTATTAGGGAATGTAATTTTCTGCATTTTATAGAACCAAAGTCGAACCTTTTTTCGGACTCCACTGTCAACTGTAGTTTTCTTTATTTAAAAGAATCATGAAATAATAAAATTAAAATAAAGAGAAGCAACCAAAAGGAGATAACTAATCCCTCCAGTTAAATTTAATATAAATTACGTTAGCAGCTCGCATATTTTGGCAACTTAAATTCAATGACAACTAATTGATATTATCCGGACGGCCTAATTTTCATTCATCCCTTTAAAGTGAAACACAACATTGCGATAACGTCCAAAGTAATAATGACTGTCCCTACGCCATATTGCCTCGTACCAGACCGCAAGCGTTTAAATTATGAATATAAAGGCTACTTGGAAATATTAAATTAATGCAGAAGTTAACCGCACAGAATTGCTTAGTTGCCAATTTATTTAAAGTTTTGCGGGATCCCGCAAATACCGGGATCCCGCGGGATTAACATCTAGCAATTGCATTCCCTAGATGGGAAAATAGACAGGGACAGAATCAAGGAACTATATCAAGAAACAGGGTTGAAGGTAAGAAGAGAAGGGAAGGAGGATGAAGTGTTTTGGACATATAAAAAAGAAGTAAGACGGGGATGCTCGATTAGCCCAACCTTATTTAATCTCTATAAAATGACATGAAAAGAGTATTAATGAGGCAGGGTCAATGTAGAGGAATCCTAGAAGAAAGATATTGTCCCTGGCATAGGCGGACGACGCAGTAATAATGGCAACAGAGGTAGAATAGTTTAAAAAAATTCTGGGAAGAATGGAGAGGCATTGGAAGGTATAGGAAGAGAGGTGGGAGAAAAAGGGAATGAAAATGGAGACAGGAAAAAATAAAAGAGGTTAGAGAAGTTAAATATTTAGAGTACCATATACAAAGAAATAATATAATAATAAAATAATATAATTGCGCAAATAAAAAAACTACGGAAAAAGGGGTGGGGACGATAAGACAGGTGTGAGGATTAGAAGAGAGGGGTTTCAAGAACAATTCCAGAACAAGAAAATACCTGTTTGATGCAATGGTGAGAGGGCTGCTCGTTTAGGAAATGAAGATATGAGGGTGGAAAGAATGGAATGAACTATATGGAATACAAAGAATGTCTTATAAATGGGTATTAGGGCTAAACGGAAAGACGCCAAATTGTATATTTGAGGAAGAAACAATAATGGAGAAAATAATGGTAGCATCGGGATGCAGTGCAGTGAGGTTTCGAGGGAAGAAGTGAAAAAGAGAGCGAATTTGTAACAGAATGCTTGATAACGAGGATGAACGGAAATAGAGAAAACAGAAATAGAGAGAAGAAAATGAAAAAAATGTAGAAAATGTGAAGAGGAAGAACTAATTCAATTAATAAGTATTGAAATGAATTTACCTTGTAGTGAAGTATTGCGATAGTGGGTTCTGTTTAATATTCATCAAACAAGAATTTAGTTTCGCGTAAATACGACCTAGAATAGTTGCATTACAACAATTGGCAAGTAAGCAGTTAAGCAAGAGTAACAATAAATTATTATCGTAGGTTTTATGTAGAGCAATTAGGAAATGGGTTGTAGGAAATTGTATACTATTAATAACGTTGTCATCAAAATATGTAGAGTAGGTAATTGCAATGTGCACAATCATTCTGTATATAAACTGTACAAAAAGTAGAATAAAGCGACTATTGAATAAAACGTCTTTAGTTCACCTGCATCTGAGCGTCCAGGCCATAATTTGGGGAATGAGGCCGTTCTCCACTCAGTGCAGTTTAATAATATCCCCCCGGATATTAAACATGGTCCTCCGAGCAATTTAAACCAGCGACCTATGGATGGACGGTCCGGATAAGACGTCAAAATAAGGAAAAAGACGTCTGAAAAAGGAACTAAGGAATTAGCACCATCCGAAAAAGGGAATAACGGGTGAGTGACTGAAAAATTTTAGGAGGAACTGAGTGCTCAGGACAGCACTGCATAACGGAAAAAGGAAATAACCACCAACCCAACAAGGCAAGTGGTAAACCAATTGGTAATAGGCGCTAAGGAAGGCGTCAAAGGAAACAAAACGAAAAATAAACACCACACGAAAAAGGATTAACGGGTGAGTGACCGAAAATTTTAGAAGGAACAAAGAAAATAAACCACCCCGTGGCAAAGGGTAAATAGCGGAAAAATAATCAAAAGGAATCCAAAATGGAGGAAATGAATAAATTGGTGGTACGGCAGCAGGAGATTGGAAATGACATATCCAAACTGCTGTCCAACTCAAAAAAGGATACAGCAGCCCGGAAGACTGCAAAATACATAGAAGAACGGCAGGCGAAATTAGAAGATTACCATCGGGAGGCAAGGAACAATCACACGGAGATAATCAAATTAAAAATTTCAGAACACGATTATTATGCAACAAATTTCATGGACCAAATTGAGGCAGTATACAACACTGCAAAGGCATACTTGAATGGGTTACAGAACACTGAAACAGATGGAAAAATGGACGAACAATTGATGAGGGTCAAAAGACAGGAGATTCGCATTGAACAATTCTACACAACAGCAGCTCAGATTACAAAGGAACGGGAGATGGGAAAGATATGCAAAGCGTTATATAACGACATGCAAAGGAGATGGGAGGTGATAAGCGACAACGAAGTAGAAATACAAGTCAATGAGGTAAGATTTGCTCACGAATATTTTACCTTGAAGAAGTTTGGCGAAGCACAAAAAGAATACTACAGAATACAAAGCCACCTAAAAAACGAGTGTGAGGACAACACTACACGGACGTCAAAAATCAAGCTGCCTAAAATAAGGATCCCGACATTCCGAACTGGGTATGAAAACTGGACTCCGTTTCATGATCTGTTTCAGAAGCTAATACATTCCAATGAAGAACTCTCGGATACAGAGAAGATGCATTACCTGAAAGGCCATTTGGATGGAGAAGCTGCCAAATTAATACAACATCTACCGATAACCGAGCAGAACTACGCCACGGCTTGGGACATATTGAAGAATCGATATCACAACGTGAGGCTGATGGTATCAAACTTACTGGGCAAGATGATGGGTGCTCCGGCAGTCGAGAAAGAGGACGCGGAACAGCTGAAACGGCTTCATGACACAATCCGTGGGTGTCTCGAAGCAATAAATAATTTGGGGACAGACACAGCATCATGGGATACAATTGTAATAAAAATTGTATCAGACAAATGGGATGTTGAAACCAACAAGCTGTTCGAGCAGTCACTGAAGCAACCAAGTCAAATACCCAAATTAGAAGAAGTGATGGAGTTCTTGAAGTTGCGGTTCCAGTCCTTGGAGGCATCAGAACAAAGACCAAAACAATTCCAAGAGCAATCAACATCGAAGTCAAGATGGCAACCCACCAGCGCAATTACATGTTACTACTGCAAACAACATCATTCCATGGAAAGGTGCCCGAAATTTCAGACGCTTGCAGCACCACAAAAGATGAAGATCGTTAGGGAACAGCAGCTGTGCATCCGGTGCATGAAACATCATCAACAATACAAGTGTTATTCCACAATTAACTGTGCAACATGCAGCAGACCACACCATACCATGCTGCACACCCCATACAACGGAACATCAACACAGGCTACAAGACCAGCGAAATCAGCCTCCCACGCAGTCACAAGGTCGGGACAGATGGAGACGAAAAGACAAGACCACCAAGTGTTGTTGGCAACCGCAATGGTGAGAGTCCAGGATATAATGGGCGATCAGCAAGTGCTGAGGGTTTTGGTGGATCCAGGGTCACAAGCATCCTTCATCACCGAACAAGCGGCCCAGGAACTGAAGCTACCAAGAACCAAGATAACTGCGATGGTTTCGGGGCTTGGAAATAATGAACCGAAGACAGCAAGGTCCCAAGTTATGGTTCATCTGCAGCCACGGCACTCAAGTAAATACATGTTAACAACAGAGCTGATCGTGCTACCCAAAATTACCGAAAATTTACCACGGCAATCATTCAAGATGGAAATGGAATCTTGGCAAAATGTGGTACTGGCAGATCCAACCCTAAACATCCCAGGTCCAATAGACATTTTATTAGGAGCACACGATTATGCAAAAATAATAATGGAAGGGATCAAGAAGACAGAAAGCGAGCTACTTGGACAACAGACGCAGTTCGGATGGGTTATATCTGGACAAATCACGTATCCAGCAAAGAAGGGGAGACCGGTACTAGGAATGGTATCGGTGATTAATGAGGACAAACAATTAGCCAAATTTTGGGAACTGGAGGAGGTAGATGTCCCAATTCGACAGAGCGAAGAAGATCAATGGTGTGAAGACCATTATGTTGCCACCACCACCAGAGGTCCAGATGGAAGATATACCGTCAGAATACCATTCAAGGAGGAACCAAAAGAAATGGCAAAATCGCGGCCACTTGCAGCAGCACGACTCCGGCAATTAGAAAACAAATTGGAAAAATATTCAGACCTACGGGAGAAATACAACTCGTTCATGCAAGAGTATCTAGAGTTAGGACACATGCAGTTGGTCGAAGCCACACAAAAAGGAGGAGATCGCTACTATATTCCACATCAACCAGTTATTAAGGAATCCAGTACGACAACCAAGTTAAGGGTGGTGTACGACGCTTCAGCAACATCTAAACCACGTAAAAGCTTGAACGAAATATTGCACGCAGGCCCAAGGTTACAACAGGAATTAGCAGACATTCTACTCAGATGGAGGAAGCACCAATTTG